CTGTCCTGCCACTCCTCCTCTCTCTGTCTAACCTCTCCCCAACTTTGATCTCATGCCGTGGGGTTTGGACCCTCTCCTCCGTCAGGGCTGAGGCTCCCCAAATGTCTCCCTGGGCAAAGAAAAGAGGAGGAGGTGTAAGGCCACCGGAGCCCCTCCCAGTTGTTCCCAAGGGGCTTCCCCACTCCACAGCTCCATCCATAGTGGCTGCAATTCATATGTCTGCTGCATCTTTCCTCCCCACCGCAGTGCCCACGTCCTGCTCTCAGCCTCTCCCCGTCCGCCTGCGCTCCTCAGGTTACTGTTTGACAGAGAAAGGCTTGACCCTGCCCTGTTTCCTGGCAGCTCGGATTTTTCCAGCTCACGAGGCAGGAGAGGTGGCTTGTGGTGCTTTGTTTAACGGGCTGGAGCAGTCGTGGTCACAGCCCGTGAGGGTTACCCACCCTGCGGGAGCGTAAAGGATGTGACAGTGGGTTCGTAGGGTTCTGTAATACACAAGGATGTAGAGGCTTTGTTTCTGTGAATTTCTTTGTTACAAGTTACTATTACTAAGGTAAATACACTTATGATTAGTAAAGCAAGTGTGTATATATAATTTTTTTTTTTTTTTTAGTATTAGTAGCAAGTATATATATATTTCATTCAAAGTATTATGGTAAAGGTCATTAAGCTGCTCCCAGGAGGGAGGTCAATCAAGTCTCTCTTTGGAGATGATCCACGTCAGGGAGCCTGCAGTCAGCCAGGCGTCCCCAGCGGGTCCGAAGGATCGCGCAGAGAAGTTCATGAGGGGGAGCTCTCGGAGGGAGAGAGGCTTGTTTTGGGGAGGTAGCCAGTTACTTTTATGTGGATCCGTAAGTGGGCAGAGGACACCAGCTCCTGGAACAGCTCCTGACTTCTGCTTGCTTAGGAGGCCCCTTTGTAGGTTAAGACGGTTTCTTTGCCCTGCAGTTTCTTTGTTTTGGGCTTATTGAGGATGCCGTGGGCTCTCAGCTGCGCTTGTCAAGGGGGCTGCAGCATCCCACCTGCGCCTGTCAAGGATGCACCAGTTTCCCAGGCTGGCAGACATCTTCTCCATCTCTATTTTATCAGACATCTCATCAGTACTTTTCCCCACTATAACCAGGTCGCTTTTATGGCTGCTGCTCCGACAAGGGATCAGTGTTATTCTCGTGGTCCCTGCAGGACGAGGCTGCCCTGGGTCTGGCAGTGACCCCGCAGGAGCCCCACGAGCTGTGCCACCTACACGTACCGGTGGGGCTGGGTGTTGGGAACTCTTTGCTTGTTCCCTGTTACCAGCACCCATGTCAAAGCAGGGCACTGGCTCTGCTCAGGTCCTTGGTGCTTGGCTGGGGGACGACCACCACCCCGTGTGCCAGCTTTCTGCCCAGGCGCTCGCTGCTCACTCCCCTGCTCCAGCGTTGTCTGGAAACGTGGCTGGAGGGAGGGACCTCTGTGGGCACGGCGGGTGCTGTGAGTGCACCGGTGCCTGCCAGCAGGCAGCTGCTCAGCAGAGCTCTGCTCCCCAGCCTGAGAGACGCCGCGACACCCAGGGCTTTCGCTGCACCACCCGGAGAGCGAGGGGCTGTGCTCGCTGCTGCCCGCTGCCTGGCTGCTGAGCTGTACGTGCCGAGAAGCCCCAGGTGAGGGATGCCCTAGAATCGAGTTGGACACGTGCCATCCTTGGGCTGTGCCCCACAGGGGACAGCCATGGCTAGCTCAGCCCTTGGAGCCATCCTCGCTGTGCTGGCCTCGCTCATCATCACTGCCAACGCGCTGGTGGCCATCGTTCTCCTTCGCCTCATCCAGAAGAGCGGCTCCAAGGGGCTCTATTTTGTCCTTAATCTCGCCGTTGCGGATGCCATGGTTGGCTTCACGGTCATGGGTCTGGTCATGGATGAGTTTTCCCAGCCCTTTTATCCTCCCCACATCTTCTGTGTCCTGAGAATGGCTTTCGTGACCTCCTCTTCTGCTGCCTCTATCCTATCCCTGATTCTGGTTGCGTGCGACAGGCACCTGGCAATCAGGAAGCCTTTCCACTATTTCCAGCTGGTGACAGGCCTGCGGGTCGGGGTGCGCTTGGTGGGGCTCTGGCTGGTTGCTGCCATCGTTGGCTTCCTCCCAGTCCTCACCCCACACTTTCAGAATATCTCCACCCACGAGAAGTGCTCCTTCTTCAGAACCTTCCACCCCACCTACATGCTCACCGTCTTCTGCGTTGGCTTCTTCCCAGCGCTCTTTCTCTTCATTTATCTCTACTGTGACATGCTGAAAATTGCCTCTGTGCACGTGCAGCATATCCGGGAAGTGGAGCACGCAGGACTGGCGGGGGGCTGCCCCCCATTCCGCACCACCAGCGACATGAAGGCCATGCGCACCGTTGCTGTGCTCGTCGGGTGCTTCACGCTGTCTTGGTTGCCGTTCTTCATCGCCAGCGTCGTGCAAACTGTCTGTTCCAAGTGCTTCCCCTACAAAGTCATTGAGAACTACCTCTGGCTGCTGGGACTGTGCAACTCCCTCCTGAACCCCCTGCTCTACTCCTACTGGCAGAAGGACATACGGCTGCAGCTCTCCCAGCTGGCTGCAGACGTGAAGAGGAGAGTCCTCTTTCACCTGGGGAATGGCTGCCATTTCCCTGGCAGAGGCACCAAGTCTCTCCCCACTGTGTCCTGCCTGCAGCTCCAGGACTGACATGGTAAGTCGCTGGCTTTCCAGGTCATCTCCTGCACCGTGACCATGAACTCAGGGCCTGCCAGCTGGGCAGGAGATCACAGATGGAGTGGGACCAATCTGGATGCTAATTCCCAGACATCAGCATGGCCACATTCCAGCCTGCCCACAGCCCCACAGAGCCACAGCACGGCCTGTTTTGCACCAGCCCCAGGCACCCCAAATTGCAGGTACGTGGCATGCATCAGATCTTGCCTGGAGAGCCTCAGCAGGAGCAGCCTTGTGTCTCCTGGGACCAAGCCTTCAGCACTCACTCCGCAGCCTAAGATCCTTCACCCATCGCTGCCCAGCTTCCCCTGCCCAGACC